ACATGTAATCACAACAACCAAAACATGTAATCACAACAGCCAATACATGAAATCACAACACCAATACATGTAATCACAACAACCAATACATGTAATCACAACAACCAAAACATGTAATCACAACACCAATACATGTAATCACAACAACCAATACATGTAATAACAACAGTCAATGCATGAAATCACAACACCAATACATGTAATCATAACACCAATACATGTAATCACAACAACCAATACATAAAATCACGACAACCAATATATGTTATTACAACATCCAATACATGTGGTCACAACAACTAATACATGTAATCACAACAACCAAAACATGTAATCATAAAAACCATACATGTCATCACAACAACCAATACATAACATCAGAACAACCAATACATGTAATCAGAACAACCTATACGTATACATGTAATCACAACAACCAAAACATGTAATCACAACAACCAATACATGTAATCACAACAAACAAAACATGTAATCACAACACCAATACATGTAATCACAACAACCAATACATGAAATCACAACACCAATACATTTAATCACAACAACCAATACATGAAATCACAACACCAATACATTTAATTACAACAACCAATACATGTAATCACAACAACCAATACATGTAATCACAACAGCCAATTCACATATATCCAGTCAATCACAACAACCAATACATGTACTCACAATAAATGACACTTGAATTCACACCAACCAATCTATGAAAACAGCACTGTTAAGGATGCATAAAGGAGACGGGGCCTACTTTTTACGGGAAATGTTTACTGTGACATCACACAATACTAGAAAATGAGATAATTTGCAATTTTTAACGGCATAAGAGTAATGAACTACATTAACACTTACCTTATCAATACTTAAATCTCACAAAGCAAAGTACAAACAAGTCACTGATCGCACTGCACATGCCGACATTACATTATTATGGTAAAATGTTACGAAATATATGTGCAGTGAGAGCGGATCAAATAATTTTCACAGTGAAAAATGCATGTTATAATTAAACAGAATATTTCTTACAGATTGTAGATAGACTATTAATACAACATAAAGCCTTTTTTGGTGCCTTTATTCAATTATTATCGAGAGAATGTATTGAATTAGTTTTACAGTGTTTTAGTGTACGGGGTGTGCATGTTCCACGCCGAGGTGCCTCATTAAACCGTCTTTCCCCAAGGGCATACGCTTAATAGATCTTGACAATTTTTCGAATATACAGGTAAAAGAAATATTTCTTAACTCGAAAAATGTTGCTACTTTCCCGAACTCGAGAGCATTATTTAATAAATACATGTACATAAAATACTTGGTAAAGGTCAAACATATTTTAACTTGGGCCTTATTACTTAAAGTTTAAACTAATAAAAATCGAATTCTATTTAAATGTAAATCATATACGGTACCAATTTTGACGCACCAGATGTGCATTTAAACAAATTATGTCTCTTCAGTGATACTCAAGCCGAAACGTTGGATATTCAAACTATTTAAATAAAAAAGACTTGGAAAAACTGAAAAAAGATGCCAAAGACTGGAGCCAAATACGTCAAATTTAAAGCAGCAGCACTTTTCTGAAATTATAATATGTGTAGAAACAGTTTGTCACTTAAAGTTTTAATCTGAATTAGGGTATGCGATGTTTTTCCCTCCACGGAGTACACACTACAGGCATTTATCACGTGACTGTCAAATAAGATGACCAAACTAGATTCAGTACAAAGTGGGGTATTCATTAATATTGATATTTATTAATATTAATTAATGCGATAAATATAAAAGCTTTACAAAAATAAATTCAATTTTTAAAAAAAAATCTATTTGTGCAAATCTATATTCCGCTGATGTCTTAATAGTACGCCTTAACAATACTGCGTACTCACAACAACTAAGTAGAAAAACCCGTTTATTTGGTTTCATCATCACTATAACTTGGAGATGTCTTTATTTAGAACTGGTCATTTAATGTTTGATACTGGAAAAAAAATTTGCTGAAGACTACTTCCATTTGTTTTGAAACATGAAACATGAAAAAAACCCTAAAGCTTACAAGTCATAAAATAGCATTGTCAAATATTCAATTCTAAAATATACATGAATTTATCTTATTACTGATGAGTAATTTGAATCCTGTTATGCGAAAGAATTATTCAGCAACCATTGTTTAAAGCAAAACATATATTTCATCGTACCTTGAACTTCTTTCTTCTTATTTGAAAGTCATGATGCATTCAACTGTCAGAAACACTTAACTTAGATTTCAGTTGGTCTATTAAGTAGGGCATGTTAATTTTACGATTTTAGAATTGTAGTTGAGAATTCTTTCTGAAGAAAGTGCAATTTAATTAATCCATAAGCTTTCTCTAGGAAAAAAAAAGTTCTCAAAATTGATGTAATTATCACATTGTTTTGACAGTCTAAATGCAAATGTTGACTTTCTATTTTCCATTTAGATTTAAATTAAGGAAATATGTACCGTTCTTTCAATACAGAATTTTTAAAAAGTTAAAGAATCACAAGAAAGTCCACCTAATTGATTGAAATAAATAAAGCTATTTTCTTGAAGTATCTGATGTATAATCTGGTAAAAGTTTTCTGATAAAATTTTCGCGTAAATTAATAATAAATCTTTAGACTTGGAAATGTATTTTCAAAGTAATTTATAAATATTTTCCTAAATAACATTTTGATAACAACATTTTACAAAGATGAAATTCATAATGTTGAGTTATATTTTCTTCTAAATACATCTTTTTTTCTTAGAAACCAAATTCTGTGTAACAATAGTCTATTAGGTTAGGTTGAGTTTTATGCATGGTAATAGAAATCATAAATGCTTATGAATAAATCAATAATTGTGTTCTAGTAAATGAATCTTGTTTCATGATAAAATGAAAAAAAAAAAACATTCAGAAGTTAAACTTTATTTTCCAAAGTGAATTTTACAATATATTAAATTCACAATATTCAATAGTTTAACTTTAATTTCATTAAATGAGTATAAAAAATGGAAGGAATTTATTTCATTTAATAGGTTATGTAAATAAAATCATTATTCTAATTTAATCAATAAATTGAATAAACTATATTCATCTGTTCAACTTTCGCAGTACAGTTAAGGTGCCAAATGGAAATATCGGCGAATTTTTTAGACAGAAAATACATTATTTACAAGGATGGGCGATTCTTTTTAGGCCTTTACTATTATCGGACAAATGTAATGTGGCTGAGAACTACATGTTGAGGACGTTTATATTTCTTATATAGATTCGTCACGTAATGTGGCAGTCTTGCGATTTTAGCAAATATGCCTGCAGTATTGAGGTCATCTATAAATTCCAATATTGCAAGGGCATAACCAAGTTGAAGATCTAAGTTTAATTTATAATTATTTTCAACACTCTTTGTAGTTTGTGAAAAGTGGTGCGAACCTATATAGATTCTACTATATTATTGCTAAAATTACATTTGTTAGACCGTATGTTGAATATTTTGTTGGTCAAGTACATTAAATGTAGATATAATTAATACATTTGAAAGATTTCATCGGGTTCGCAGCACTTTTCAAATATCTTCATACCTCTTGAGTTTATGTGTAAAAGCTTGTCGTAATTCATTGAGGGTATGCCCTTGCAATATATCGATTTATTACGACCCTTCTATTACCCTTCAATGAATCTGCATACAAATGAACGGCAGTTTCACTTGTCTAGGGAATGTACGGGAAGTACATGAATTAAATCATAAAATAGACATCGCATCCAAGTTAATGGTCTCTTATATATCTGCAAATAATACTTTATTTAATTACAAAACACATTTTTTCATGTATAAAATATAACTTGATCCGCCTCTCACTGCATACAAACTGCGTCAAATTTTACGATATGACGTCACATTGACAAGAGCATTGCGATCAGTGAATTGTTTATATATTGCTGTGTGGGATTTAACCAACGACAAAATTACATGCAATAGTAAGTATTGATATAGTTTAAAGCTATCCAACAGTTTAAAATAGCGTATCATTTCATTTTATAGTAATTTGAAGAACATGTATTTTTGTGTGATGTCATAGTAAGCATTTCCCGTAAAAATTAGGCCCCGCCTCCTTATTGCAGCCTTAACTGTGCTGCGTCGTTTTCATAAATGCATTTTGTGATAAAATTAATGAAAAATCTTTATCAAATTATTAAACTTTATTTTAGTTAATAAATTCTCTTATGAAATAATTTATAAATAAAAGAAACTAAAAGATAAGGAGTGAAAGTTGTTGTAATTAACATTTATCTATATATAGCCTTAGCAAAACTTCATATGTTATTTTATCAATAATGTTATAATCATCACAAACCAAGTATTTTTATCCATTCTATTTCGACGTGGAAATAGGATGGCTACAAAATCTAAGACTTGCCACAATTTTACTTGGTTTAATTTTGAAAGTAAAGTTTTGAATATTAAAATAAGACATTAGATCCCAAATTTTACAATAGAAATAGACGGGTAAGTTGGATGATTAATATACATTGAATTTACATTGTAATGTGTTTATTTTAAAAAAGCTGACGCTTTTTTTTACAGTCAGTGACAGCAAAATATGGATGAAAATGATATGCATAGAATTTTTGTTTTCTCATGCAGTGATATTCTTGTCAGGCTATACGCTTCAATGGCAATACAATGTTTTCTTTTACCTCATTTTTGAAATGATATTTTAAATTGTTTTCTTTTTCTTTTTAAATGTTCAATACACACAGCGTATAACTGATAGTCTCTTGTGCGGATTATGGATATCCTTCCTTATGCAACGATCGACCTCATCTGCATGGCAGTACTACTAATAAATCCAAACTATTTAAGTTTTTTAGTTTGGAAATTTGCCATATTTATCTGTTAAAATCGAATTTACTTTGTGAATTCATCAAGAAGGTTAAGAGATTGATTTGTAGTGATAAACAATGGTGTTTAATATCATTAAATTTTATTAGTGCAATTTAATGAACTTGAAAGAATAAAAGAATTAGCTACAGTTAAATAACTACTTCTTTTAAAAAAAATACTATTGATTGATATTTAAATTTGACATCTCTGACAAACGCACTTTCACTACATGAAGTCATTAAAGTGTTTAGGTGAAATATCCATCCACGCTCATGAAAACAATGCAAGATTTTAGAAGAGGAACGTGACTAACTATAGGCTGTCTCTTATGGATTGATCCTCTTTCGACAAAAGATTCCATTGCATCTCTAATACCTAAAAAATAATATGACAAAATGGCAACTGTAAAATTAGCAATAGCATGGGCAATGGGCCACAAAGCTCGCCTGAGTCATATATATAGCCCTACCGTTCTTCATCAACAGAATTTTTCCCTATATATTCCTATGTAAAATTTTCAGCGCCTAATGTTTATAGACAGAGAGACGGACAGACAGACGGACGCCAGACAAAATTTCATCGAAAAGTTCACTAGAGCATTTCGCTCATGTGAGCTAAAAGGGACTTTTGTATAATATAAAATATATTTTTAAGTCAAGTGTGTCCTTTTAAATGGAAAAACGGTAAAGTCATTTATTAGGTTTTTTAAATACCTAAATATATTACATATCAAATTTAAGATTTGAACGTGTAGAAAAGTAACAATAAAACCGGCAAGTACATGGTCATATTAAAAAGTTTACAAGAAGATGCTTATGACCAGCATTGCTGAAATGGACATCTTATTACAAAATGACAAATGTTTCGAAACATTAAAAAAATCATGTTTTGTCATTAAGTACACAAAATTTAATGCCTAAAAATCGCAAAAAGCCATTCATTTTTCTTCACATTCTAAAAAATGTTTCATACCACGGAAATAAAAAAATAGAATAATTATGTTTAAAAGGAGTTTGAAGATCACCGCAAAATAAATGCTTATATCACATTTTATTATAAGATGTCCAATAGAATTATCGCTCCTCTGGAAAAAATGCCATCATTTCTAATGACTAACTTTAAAAAAAAATTAAAAATGCTGATTATTTTACAACCAAGAATATTTTATGGGAATTAGAACAAAAATACATTTCCCCTTGGAAACTAAACATGTAAAAATTTTTACTTTGAATGATTAAAATGGCTTTGTCTTGAGTTGACACATTGATATCAACTTCTAATGTAAAACATTCTATTCAAATTTGTTTCTGAAATATAAATTTTCATAACCTGATCGGATTTAAAAAACTTGCCTCTATTTTTTTAGTCATTTTTTGAAACATTTTGTCTATCCGGGAAGAATTTGTTTTCAACGTCTCTATTCTTGAATTTTCACTTTTAAGTTCTCTTATATAATCAATCCACAGTGTTAGTACATACAGTGCATCCTTTTTCACATCACTGAAAAAAATCAATTAAAAAAGTTTATAAAGCAACGAGAAATTGTAACATTTTTGCATCCTCCTTAGTCTTTCAAAACTAAATGCTCAGTGTTTATTTTCAAAAGAATGAATATTTGCTTCCGTTTATTTATTTAAAGTAAAATATGACTAATTCATCAATTTTTATCAAAATCAAACCAAGCAATGTTTATCATTTATTGTTCTTTGAATGAAACAATTTGCCCATGTAGTGTCTGGACAAGTTCCATGCATATTTACATGTATATTGTTTGTACACTTAATATACGAGTGTGTTGGGTGAGACTATGGCGTAGTAATTGAAATTCATTAATTCATTTTGATTTTATTGATTCATTTATTCATCTTCATGGAACAATTATTTTATAAAAGTTAATTATTGCATCAAATAATCATTTACTATTTTTGCTAATTAATGATTGCACTGAAAAAAACACGTCATTTCATGCTTCTTAAAAGGTCTTTTAACAGTTTTAAAGTAGCTAGATCTGAACAAAATTATAATAGTAATACTTACAGACACCCAGTATATTGAAGATTTTCTGCAATTTGTTTCATTGCTTTTCCAAAGTCATTCCTTTCAATTTTTCCTGGAAGAATAAGAAAGAAACTGATTGTAAGTTATAATTAAACAAGGCGTAAATAAAATTTCAAAACTTTTATTTTTTCTTTCTTGACTCGAAGGATCTAAACGTTTAATTCACTTTTTTTCAACAAGAAAACAAATCCAAAAAAAAAAGAGATTAACTGTACATGTATTTCGCTTTTAATTCATGTCACCCGCTTGGCGCATTTGTAAAAGTGTTTGCTCTAGAGTCGAGGTTTAAGGAGTTGATCCTTAGAGCGCGGGACGTGGACACCAGTCCTTTTGATGAGATTGCATAAAACTAACTCCCGTGTCGCAGTAGGTTCTGCATCGAAAAAGATCCCTCACTGCTCATTTGCCCTAATTGCCGAGTATAAGTTTAAATTTGCATTCTTCCACCGGTAAGCGGCGGCATCTCCATAAGAGTGAAAAAGTCTCGAAGGGACGTTAAGCAACAAACAAACTTCATTACATCGGAAAAGAGTAATTTAATAAATTTTGGTCAATTATAAAATGAAAACAATAGTTTAACATTTGATTCACTTATCAATTCTAAGATTTATAATAAGGTATTGCTGTGATAATTTTATTTTTTCCATTTATTTATGAAGTGTGTTTGCTTGAATAGGTACAACATACATATTAAAGACTATTTTTCTTTAAAGTATTAACATGAAATATATGAATCACATTTTTTTTTGTGCAATAGCACATCTTCTATATTCATATTTGATGGGAAAAAAACACTTAAAAATAATTTGTTTTCAGTTATTTTGTCAGTACATTTAGCTGAATTTTGCAGATCCCAAAGTTATATCAACTTTTTAATTGTATTAAACATACCTTTCCGAATTTTCTTCTTTCTCCCTACGTAATCCAACATTGTAATTTTGTTTAACGTTTCTTCATCTGCATGTGCTATTTAACTACTCTAATTTGACAGATTTTCTTTCAAAATATTTACGTTGAATGGATAAAGCATCAACATTAATACACTTTGTTAACGCCTGCTCTCATTTCAACCAACAAATCATAAGTATTCTAAATGCAAATACAAATGCCCTCGATAAATTAAATTTGCAGATGGCAAAATTGCCGAAAAACGCAATTTCATTTGTTGTCGAGCACTTTAAGGTGACTGCTAAATAATCGTAAAATACGGACTTTTAAACACTCAGTCATGTCGTAGAAACGTATTCTAAGGAGCAACGAACTCAGACGTTAGTTCTAGCACAAGGATAATTTTATTTATTTAAAACATATTTTTAACAGGCATGGGTAATTGTGCGAATTTTCATAAATATAAATGATGTATTCCAATAATTCTACCGGAAGCATAACTTTATTTCGTTATATAAATGGATGACACTGATTATAAGATTGGCATAAGACAAGTAGGAAAATACATATATACAACATCAGAAGCAACACAAACGACTAAAACAAGAGGCCAATAGACAACAACGCTCACCTGAGTCACTTATTTTTTATTTATACATAGTTTTATTCACATGAAGTGAATGGGATTGGGCAGCAGGCATAGCCTATTTTAGCCCTCACCCTAACCTGAGACACCTTTGCCCTGTTGTTCTTCATCAGATTTATTTCGCTTTATACATGTGTTTCTATTTTAAAATTTTGATTGTCCTTTGTGACCCCACTTCCATGGTAAACTATATTTTACTTAAGTATCAAAGTTTTTACAAAAGTAAGTTAAAGTTTTTACTGTAGTAAATCAAAGTATTTGTAATATGAATTTCAAATTGCTATATTTTAATTTCTCTAACCTCTAAATGGACATTTTTTTAAAATATATATCAACAAGACATATTGCTGGGGTATTCAAAAATAATTTCTAGAATTTACATATGTAGAATGAAATTTTTGAAATATTAAGGCTCTAACGATCAAAAAAGTCCTCGTGTAAAATTCCCTAGTAAATGAATGAAGCAAAGTATTTACTATAGTTAGCAATAGTTATATTTCTTTTGGAGGCACCCTATAAACAGGGGCCATGATTAAAAAAAAATGAATCCACACTGTCAGATGATGCTTCAATATGAATACGATTTTTCTTGGCTTTGCTGTTTTTCATATATTTCAATCAGAAGAAAGTTTTTAAAATATTTACCGATACTGTAATTCCTATGTAAAGCTATGATCATCCAATATGACCCACCCTTTCTCTTGGGTTCAAAATTTCAATGAACTTGAATTTACACGACCTAAGGATGCTTCCATATTCAAGTGATTTATCTTGACTTTGTTGTTTTATGAGAACAGGAGTTTTAAATTTTTCATCTATAATCCTACGTAAATCTTTAAGTGCTTATTGCTGCCCCTCTAGACTCTAGTGTCTAAGATTTGAGCAAACCTGAATCTACACTACCTGAGGATATTTCAGCTTTGCAGATTTTTTTATCGTTCATCCTTCCAACTTTGTGCAATCTTTGCACTCGGAAATTCGGTTTTTTAATTAATTCATTACATAATACATTTCAGGTTCAGGAACCAACCAAAAAGATAAAAATACTTGATTAAAAAGAAAATAGAATTTTTCCAATAATACTAACGTATGTACGAATATAACAATAATATCTGTTTGCTGGATTAACCCCTCAATTAAGTATAAACTGCAAATTACTGATATCCATAAAAAAAAATATAAGTAAACATGTGTTTTGACAGGAAACTAGCTCATGATCTTCAAAAAACATGTTTCTAAATGATGAAGTAATTAAAAAGCCATTAAAACGTGAGATAATTAAATACATATCAGGATGTATGGAAAAAGGAAGAGAGATATTCCGTGTAAAGAGTGGAAGGGTCAGCCAGTTCAAATTGATAATGGAAATGTCTAGTCTGAGAAATAAAAAATAATACTGCTCCTGTGGAAAATGTTGTGAATAGTTAATGGATAATTTACTAATTCATAACCCAGTTTCACTGCAAGTTTGTCGTACACTTAATTTTTGATAATTAATTGAGAAAGCAAAAGATGCTCCGTGAAGGAAAAAATATACATCTATGAAATATGGAGATAACGAAAAGTGATCTAGCTCAAATTTCCATTCAAACAACAAAAATCTGGAACAGAGTAAACACAGACCTCTGAAAAACATCAGAGGTGGCATGGAATCAGGTGACATAAATGAGTAAGCATCCCCCCCCCCCCGACCGGTCACACCCGCTGCATGCTAATTGTCATGATCAGGCAAAGGGAAAAATCCGTAGACATTCAATTGTGTTTAAATATTGGCTTAACAATAAGTATGAAACGTTAGCATTCGACATAATGATAGGTTGTATCTGCTAAAAAAATCAAGACATTCAGTAGTGGCCTAGCAATTTGTGTGAAAAATGTCAGTCAACATTCGACTTAATGATAGATTGTATTTGCTGACAAGATCATTGTCCAGAAGTAACCATAAGTAACTAAAATGATACAGGTTATACACTGTACCTAGAAAATAACTGTGAAGCCCCAAATATATGTGGTAGATGTATGGCAGAGAAGCCTATTATTAATGTGTCGGATTATCACAATCTGTCAAAAGATCTGAAAATTTGTACAAGACTTTAAAACCGACGACAGACAATATTACAAGTAAAATCGTTTGAAGGTAAATTGTTTCCGGATCTAAAAACCTGGTTTTATGTGTCACAATAGCTCGAATATTTTATTTCGAATCTGATAAGTGGCAAGATGGATTAGTTTGTTATTCATCTAACATTTTTATTTCAAAATAATTTTGACATTTGACATGAGTCAGGCATTTAAAAAGAGGATATAAGAGATCTTTCCTCTGCATGATATTGCCACTGAAATATGACACATTGTATGAAATTTATGAAGACTGATATCCGAAAAAGTAATATTCGTAAATTATTTCCAAGTAGGTCATCATCATTCACAAAATAAATAAATAAATAAAATAGGAAAACACAAGATATTTGAATATTACGCCTAATGACAATCGGATAAAGGGCAAAGACGTACAGCATATCTGGAAGCGATTTCCAAAATAGACAAGGCGTTGCTTAGAGCGAAATATGTGAATTCCGTTCAAATATACAACATACTTATTCAAAATTTTAATATGATTGTAAATCATCAAATTATGTAGTTTTTCAGCATGTTTTAAGAGAAGGACAATTTATCTGATAGGGTTGACAGAATGCAGATGACAATATTAACACTGACTAAATGCAATATTCGGAACAAGAAATAAAATTAATTCATGCCAGAAGCAGAGTTAAACAGCTTCAAAGACATCTTCACTGGTAAAGGGCTTAAAAACGTACGACTGTTCAACTTTATACACAACCATTCCCCACGATAAATTAAGATCCAGGCTTTTTGATATCATTGACAGATACTTTTTCAATAAAAATGGAACTCGCAAATTTACTTACCTTGTCATTGGTCACTTGCAAAATTATTTTGTTAAAAAACATTCTGATTGTACACACAAGTACTCTGAAGTTGCCATTAAAAAGATGCTTGAGTTTCTGATTGACAATATCTATGTGGTTTTCTAAAAATCTATTGGAATTCCCATGGGTACCAATTGAGCCTCGTTATTAGCAGACCTTTTTTGTATTCGTATGAAGCAACATTTGTCCACAATCTTATACGTGAAAAGAAGAAAACACTTGCTGTGGCCTTCAACTCGACATTTAGATATATCGACGACGTATTGTCAATTAACAATGTTTATTTCCATTCTTATGTCGATACGATATATCCCGGGAGCTTGAGATAAAAGATACTATAGAGTCTGACACATCTGTTCCATATTTGGATATTTTACTTGAAAAAGACGTTAATGGTAATCTAACAACCAAGCTTTATGATAAACGTGATGACTTTAACTTTTCAATCGTCAACTTCCCTTACTTATGCAGCAATATATCTTCATCACCTGCACACGGTGTTTATATCTCTCAGTTGATTCTATACGCAAGAGCATGCTCTACGTATGTACAATTTCTAAAACGAGGCAAATTATTGACAAACAAATTGGTGAAACAAGAATATCAGCAGTCTCCTTTAAAGTCATCATTTCGTAAGATTTATGGTCGATACAATGACCTTGTCAGCAAATACAATTTATCATTGAGTCAAATGCTGACTGACGTTTTTCATACTAATTGTTAGGCCATTATTTACACACTGAATTGTCGACGGATTTTTCCGTTATTTCCCGATCATGACAAGGAGCACACGGCGGGTGTGACCGGTCGGCAGGGGATGTTCACCCCTCCATGGTACCTGATCCCACCTCTGATGTTTTGGAGGTCCGTGTTTGATCTGCATCTATTTTGAAATATTTAATTGACTTTTGAGCTTGAATACTGTTCGTTAACTTCCTTATATTTCATTAAATACCCTTTTGTTACCCTTGGCAAGCTGTGGGGCACAAAATTCAAAATGAAATATTAAAATTCGAATTTCGATAATCCAGTTGATTCTATTTACAAAAGCACGTTCTGCATGTCAAAGCCAAGACAGTCTATGTATGGTCACTACAACGACCTTTCTTGCCAATCCATATTATTGTTAGATCAAAAGTTGTCTCATACTTTAAAAAAGAAATTGCTGGATAATTTTGTTCATACTGATTACTCCATTAAATAAATGAATTAATTAAGACAAAGAGCGAACGGAAGGAATAACAGGTACACATGGAATGCTTACTCCTTCTTGCTACCTCTTGCTACCTCTTGTCCAACCTCTTGTTTTTTTTTTTTCCGGATGTCTGTACTTGATATCATTGTGTTGCCATTTGACTGGATTTTTGAAATTGATAACTCTTCGTAATATTCAAATATTTGATTTTCCCAGTCAAAATATATTTTACTATATATAATTTTAAAGGGAAAAAGAAACCATAATAATTTAACAAAGGCATTGAATGCAAGAGATCGGTTTAAAGATGCAAGGTAAGAGTTGATATAAATTAAAATAAAGATTATCACAAAAAGTGATTATCTTGTAGAGTTAAGAAGACGTTTTAGATAAAATGATTAAATATAAATATGAAAAAAATTAGAAACTATACTTATGAAATCTAATGCATTCAAGGGACAAATGCATTTCAA